TAGTAAGGTGTGTCTCACGTTGTGTATTAGTGTGCTTCGTGTTAGTAAGGTGTGTCTCACGTTGTGTATTAGTGTGCTTCGTGTTAGTAAGGCATGTCTCACGTTGTGTATTAATGTGCTTCATGTTATTAAGATGTGTCTCACGTTGTGTATTAGTGTGCTTCGTGTTAGTAAGGCGTGTCTCACATTGTGTATTAGTGTGCTTCGTGTTAGTAAGGTGTGTCTCACGTTGTGTATTAGTGTGCTTCGTGTTAGTAAGGTGTGTCTCACGTTGTGTATTAGTGTGTTTTGTGTTAGTAAGGTGTGTCTCACGTTGTGTATTAGTGTGCTTCATGTTATTAAGATGTGTCTCACGTTGTGTATTAGTGTGCTTCGTGTTAGTAAGGCGTGTCTCACATTGTGTATTAGTGTGCTTCGTGTTAGTAAGGTGTGTCTCACGTTGTGTATTAGTGTGCTTCATGTTAGTAAGGTGTGTCTCACGTTGTGTATTAGTGTGCTTCGTGTTAGTAAGGCATGTCTCACGTTGTGTATTAATGTGCTTCATGTTATTAAGATGTGTCTCACGTTGTGTATTAGTGTGCTTCGTGTTAGTAAGGCGTGCCTCACATTGTGTATTAGTGTGCTTCATGTTAGTAAGGTGTGTCTCACGTTGTGTATTAGTGTGCTTCGTGTTAGTAAGGTGTGTCTCACGTTGTGTATTAGTGTGCTTCGTGTTAGTAAGGTGTGTCTCACGTTGTGTATTAGTGTGCTTCATGTTAGTAAGGTGTGTCTCACGTTGTGTATTAGTGTGCTTCATGTTAGTAAGGCGTGTCTCACATTGTGTATTAGTGTGCTCTGTGTAAGGTGTCTCACGTTGTGTATTAGTGTGCTTCATGTTAGTAAGGTGTGTCTCACGTTGTGTATTAGTGTGCTTCAAGTTAGTAAGGCGTGTCTCACGTTGTGTATTAGTGTGCTTCGTGTTAGTAAGGCATGTCTCACGTTGTGTATTAATGTGCTTCATGTTATTAAGATGTGTCTCACGTTGTGTATTAGTGTGCTTCGTGTTAGTAAGGCGTGTCTCACATTGTGTATTAGTGTGCTTCGTGTTAGTAAGGTGTGTCTCACGTTGTGTATTAGTGTGCTTCATGTTAGTAAGGTGTCTCACGTTGTGTATTAGTGTGCTTCGTGTTAGTAAGGTGTGTCTCACGTTGTGTATTAGTGTGCTTCGTGTTAGTAAGGTGTGTCTCACGTTGTGTATTAGTGTGTTTTGTGTTAGTAAGGTGTGTCTCACGTTGTGTATTAGTGTGCTTCATGTTATTAAGATGTGTCTCACGTTGTGTATTAGTGTGCTTCGTGTTAGTAAGGCGTGTCTCACATTGTGTATTAGTGTGCTTCGTGTTAGTAAGGTGTGTCTCACGTTGTGTATTAGTGTGCTTTGTGTTAGTAAGGTGTGTCTCACGTTGTGTATTAGTGTGCTTCGTGTTAGTAAGGTGTGTCTCACGTTGTGTATTAGTGTGCTTCGTGTTAGTAAGGTGTGTCTCACGTTGTGTATTAGTGTGTTTTGTGTTAGTAAGGTGTGTCTCACGTTGTGTATTAGTGTGCTTCATGTTAGTAAGGTGTGTCTCACGTTGTGTATTAGTGTGCTTCGTGTTAGTAAGGTGTGTCTCACGTTGTGTATCAGTGTGCTTCATGTTAGTAAGGTGTGTCTCACGTTGTGTATTAGTGTGCTTCATGTTAGTAAGGTGTGTCTCACGTTGTGTATTAGTGTGCTTCATGTTAGTAAGGCGTGTCTCACATTGTGTATTAGTGTGCTCTGTGTAAGGTGTCTCACGTTGTGTATTAGTGTGCTTCATGTTAGTAAGGCATGTCTCACGTTGTGTATTAGTGTGCTTCAAGTTAGTAAGGCGTGTCTCACGTTGTGTATTAGTGTGCTTCATGTTAGTAAGGTGTGTCTCACGTTGTGTATTAGTGTGCTTCATGTTAGTAAGATGTGTCTCACGTTGTGTATTAGTGTGCTTCGTGTTAGTAAGCCGTGTCTCACGTATATTAGTGTGCTTCATGTTAGTAAGGTGTGTCTCACGTTGTGTATTAGTGTGCTTCGTGTTAGTAAGGTGTGTCTCACGTTGTGTATTAGTGTCCTTCATGTTAGTAAGGTGTGTCTCACGTTGTGTATTAGTGTGCTTCGTGTTAGTAATGTGTGTCTCACGTTGTGTATTATTGTGCTTCGTGTTAGTAAGGTGTGTCTCACGTTGTGTATTAGTGTGCTTCATGTTAGTAAGGTGTGTCTCACGTTGTGTATTAGTGTGCTTCGTGTTAGTAAGGTGTGTCTCACGTTGTGTACTAGTGTGCTTCGTGTTAATAAGGTGTGTCTGACGTTGTGTATTATTGTGCTTCATGTTAGTAAGGTGTGTCTCACGTTGTGTATTATTGTGCTTCGTGTTAGTAAGGCGTGTCTCACGTTGCGCATTAGTGTGCTTCGTGTTAGTAAGGTGTGTCTCACGTTGTGTATTATTGTGCTTCAAGTTAGTAAGGCGTGTCTCACATTGTGTATTAGTGTGCTTCATGTTAGTAAGGTGTGTCTCACGTTGTGTATTAGTGTGCTTCGTGTTAGTAAGGTGTGTCTCACGTTGTGTATTAGTGTGCTTCGTGTTAGTAAGGTGTGTCTCACGTTGTGTATTAGTGTGCTTCCGTGTTAGTAAAGCGTGTCTCACGTTGCGCATTAGTGTGCTTCGTGTAAGGTGTCTCATGTTGGGGGTGGGGGGGGGTGTGGCGGTGCGTGCCATTCACCCGTTATTTAAGGTACACCCACAATTAGGAGCGAAAGGGCTACAGGCTGCGCGCGTTAATTGGCTAGCCGACTAAAACCAACGGCGACGATCGGCGGCTCGAGAGAGCGCGAGACATGAGCGAGCGCGCGCGCGCGAGAGAGAGAGAGTGAGCGAGAAGAGCGGGCACTGCACAACAAACAAACACAAAACCCGGAGGTGGAGCACGAGCAGCGGAATTGATATTCTGGATGACGTCGTAGGAAATGAAAACGGATTGCGCACCCCTCGGTGGGGACATTAGCGGGAGCGCGGTTGGGCCGTGCGCGCGGTTACTGGCACAACCGTGGTGGGGAGGGGGGGGGGGGTGTACGGAACTAGTCAGGACGAAGTTGAGTGGAATGCACAAAAGTGAGCGATATATATATACGATGTGAATTTTAGGTTTTTTTTCATGAAAATGAAATAGTCGCAAATAAAAGGTTTCTGTTCCGTCGCTCAGATAACAATTATTTTTTTCCCACTATAGGTAACCGCCAAAAAAATGAGTCGGGGCTTGTGGGGGAGCGGTAGCGTAGTGGTTAACGCGCTGTGCTACAAACCCAGTGACCAGAGTTTGATTTCCGCTCATGGCCAACACCAAGTGACGATTATCTGAACAGGTCCTGGGCCTCCCCTAGGTTAGTCTCAGCCTAAAATTAGCACGTAGTTGCATGCGTAAACACCGCCACTAGTGAGACAAAGGCGGTTCTGTCCACCCCACCCCCTTGTGTGCCGTGCCGACCGCACCTTCCCCAACAGTCTGTTCAGGCTATACAGGGGATCTTTGTCTTTGGAAAATTAATATACATTAATAAAAGCACGATCAACAACAAAATAAACTCAGCACATTCTTCAAGAACACCGCAACATAGCAGGCGACGTTTCGGGCAACGATTCTCCTTCACGGCGCGTAAATCACGTGCGGGAAATCGGGCCCGCTCTTCAGAGCTCGCCATATTTTGTGCCATGAAACGTCAGGGCAGTGCTACTGACGAATGTCGAGTTGTTTCGTTTCGCGTGCTTGTGCACCACTGTCAAGGCAGTACGAGCAGCAGCAGCAGCAGCAAAAAAAAATGTACGTCTTTACCACGTAGCTCCAGCTATGAGGATCGAATATCGGTTTGAACGAAACGTAGCCAACGAGCGTTGGTCGGTGAATCAATGAATTGCTTCCGGGTCGTAATGAACACAAGGCAGAAATTACGGTCGAGTTAGAAACGATCGACGGCCGTGGCCCGGCGTCGCGCCCGCTACGCGCCGCGCTTGCGCGCGTGACGCCGGGCCACGGCCGAGCGACCACCCGCCCAGCGGCACCGCCGTGGGAGTAGCGAGCCGCGCGTTCCCCATGAATTATTTACGCCCACGGTGAGCGCGAGCGTCACGCGTTGGAACGCCGTCGCCGCACAGTATGGCCGCGGCGTGCATTAAACAAACGTACATTCGCGCGCCTTCCCGCGGGACAGCGAAACACGTTGGGATATTTTTAAGAAATGAGCGGGAGATCGGGCGGGCGCGTTGCGCGACTTTGCCCGACCCTCACGATGAAAGGTCACAGTTCTATTCAAGAAGAGATTCTTTTTTTTAATATATATAAGTCGCGGTCAATGCAGCATCTCTGTTGGCTGCCGGGGGTTCAGGTGCACAGCTAACTCTACTTCCCTTGCCGCGGTGTGCCACGGTGGCGAGATGTTAACTACCTTGCCTGGTATACAGGAGTTCGTGGGTTCGATCCCGATCCTAACGCCTGTATATTTGGAGTTTGCGGTGTCTCTCTCTCCATGGTCGTGTAGATTTTTCTCCGGCTCCTCCGGTTTTTTCCTTCCATATTTAGAATGAACAGCGTTTGAGAGTATTTGGCTGCTATAAATTCCCACGTAAAAGGCCACTTCGTTGGGTTATCATTTGTGACCAGGTAGCTTCTAAAAAAAGAGCTGTATAGCTCAATGTCCCTTACCTGTTAAAATAAAAAAAACAGATTACTTTTTTTTACATTTTAAAACCGTTTCATGGTAAGAAAACATCGTATTGTTGAAATAAACAAAAACAATGCCAAGACACTAAGCATACCCATGAATATATGTAGCAGACACAAACGTCAACTTGCATTCATAATGCATTCCGTAACGCAAACAACATCCCAAGAGTGCATCATTTCTCCACAGGAAGCCGTGGCAGGAAACGGGAGGGAGAGTCACGTGACCTTGTCATCCTTACCTCTCGATTATGTCAGCAATTGTGCAGGCAAACATGAGGAGACCTTCTGGCATCTGCAGCGCCACTGCAACAACACACGCCAGACAGTTCAGCGTCAGGCGATCTCCAGCTCCCCGCTAGAAACTACACGGGTTGTTTGCGTCAACAACAAGGGACGTGCACGTGGTACACAATCCTTTCATCATTGCTATGCAATGTACACATTACTCAGCCGTTACACCGTATCCTGCGGAGTATAAGACGCACGCCAAACTTTGGGGTCATTTTAAATGAAAGTGTGTGTTTCATAATCGATCTGGAAGATGATGCACAAACACATTTACAGATTAAAATATATTAAAATACGTCTTCCGGAACGACATGTATGACTGTGGAGAGCCATCTTCCAGAAGACGATTACGTGAATATGAAGGCGCAAGTTTAGAACGGGGAAGCGATGTCTTCCGTGAGATGATTCTGAGCGTTTGGTGGTGTCTTCTGTCCTACGGCTGGCAATGTACCGCTGAGGAAGAAGTGTCTTCCGTAAGAAGATTCATAACAAGATTGAAAGAAAAAAAATCTTCCGAAATAATCTGGATTCTCCAGATTATAAGATGCAACCCCCCCCACCCCCCCCGACCCAACTCCTGGTTTTAAATTCAGGAGAATACGTGTGTGCTGTCTCAGGCGCGGTGTGCCTCTTGGATAGTTTAACGGGCCGACGGGCTTAGCTAGGAAGTGCGCAGCCATGGGACATAAAAAAAAATGCGTACGCTGGGACAAAACAAGCATTGGGCCTTTCCTCGCGCCCAGCGAGGCGCGCAAATCGGAGGTGCTGGAGGAAGCTTTATTTTCGCTGGCGAAAAAAAAAAAGAGCAATGTTTGCAAAATGCTCATCTTTTTTGTTATATAGGCTTCCTTCGCCTCTGTCGTGTACGATAAATCACCGGAGCAAGCGGTGTTTTGCACACTTGTTACAGCCTTCAGTCGGGCCTGGCTGACAGCAATAAACTAATTAAGCGTGACACCTTTCAAAACGCCGAGCCATAAAGCACATTACCGTCGGAGACAGCAGCGGAACGAAAAAGCAAATAAAGATAAACTATAATTGCACGCACGGCGGAAATTAAACACCGTCGCAATTTTACACGGTTAACGTTTCTTTTACATCTCGAAAATGGGCAAACCAGCAGGCGGTAATCTTCAACAAAATGTTTTAAAATAACATTACAGCAATAATAATCGTAATTGTTATGCTCGGAGTGAGATGCACTGCAGCGTGGTGTTACTGTACCTCGTCTGAATCCGGCCTGCCTTATCCTCCAGATGGTTTTGTAAATCTCAAAATTATAGTTGCCTGGCAGGGTGGCGACAGCTTGCTGGAGCAGTGGATCTTCAAGTATCTCCAAGGGCACCTGGTGGATTATCCGCCTGCCTGAGGCACAATAAAAGACAACGATTGCAACCAGCTCCACCGTGCAACCTTCAGCAAGGACAATTCTGTTAGCGAGCACCTATTATCATGGCTGGCACGGCACACGAGCGTGACGGTGTGGCCGGCACCACGCCGGGCCGCCTCTCCCTCTCCCCGGTGCCGGTGTTTTACACACCGGCACCGGGTGCACAATTCACCCGCCGAGGTTCGACGTGGCCGGTAACCAAACAGAGTTCTCGGTGTAGCAAAGTTGGCTGACCCATTGCACCACTTGATCCCCCCAAAGCACGCGGTTACCCGGGCGTGTGCATGGTGCTCAACAATGCATTATTACAGTGTAAAAATCACCACGTCCTGCAAAACAACTGTCATTATTGACATACACATATATCTTCTCCCGACCGGTCTGGCACAAGGCAATATGGTGCAATGCATTGGCCCATTCATTATACCCAACGATTTGTTAAAGCCCCAACAATTAGGCATGCAGAGGAAATGTAGGCGTGTGTTTGTGCCTTCTCTACAATCTCGGTTCGATCATTTAAGAAAATAATGGAGTCCTTTGTCAATGAACTGCAAGGGAAGGGTCCCCCAATACCATGTCAGTAATAGCGGGTTGTTTGACCATACTTCACCACGCTGGTCAGGAAGGATTGGTGAAAGGGGTGACAGCCCAAGACCGGTTCAGATATCACTGACAACCGATGATAGCCTCGGCTAGGAAACACATGGATTAGAGAAAAAAACCTGAGTTAAGGACACCATTTTCAACTCAACTATTTTTTATATTTTACTAGGTAAGGCCCACTAAGCTGTATAGCTCTTTTTCAGAACCGAGCTGGCCACAAATGATAGCCCAGTGAAGTGGCTTATTGTGTTAACTGATAATAAAAGTAGGCAGGCTTTTGACAGGACACGTCGCGAGAAGGGATGAAAGGCCAGCGGTCGAGACTAAAAACAGAGTGGCAGCTGAAGGAGCTGAATGAGCCCAGGAGTTACGTAACGCCCCCGGAGATGGAGTGGACATCAAGTCCATGTGCGGGAGCTCGATGGAATGTCACTCGGTGCGCCCAAGAGCGACGGCTCGGGGAGGCCTTCATTCGGCAGGAGGATTGATCATGGCTGATGAGAAAATTCTTATTTTTATTACTTTTATTGTATGAAACATATTTTTGCTCTATACTCCCCAATTGGACTTGATGGGGCAAGACAGTGGCACAGTGAGCGAGCGCGACGACTTGTGGGTTAACACAAAGCACCGCGGGCGCGAATCCAAACGCGACTTCAAAGCGAGGAATTAATAAGGAGCCGCTTAATGCAAAACGGAGGGAGGGGGGTGAAGGGGCCGGAAGCTTTAACTCAAGTACAAATTGGTACGAGCATTGCACGCTCATTGCAACAACAAAAAATATCTAAGTAAGTGGACATGTTTACATTAACCGGATCATTATACGGCAATCAGTATGGCTACTGGCGTACGGTAATTTTGCCGATTTATACACCGCGAGAGTCATATTCCACTTCAGTGCCCTCCGGGGTTCCTCTGAACAAAAACCCACAACCGTGTTTCTTGTAAACTCGCTGACATCTGCTAAATGGAGCCGCCCCGTATAAAGATCTTTAATAAATAAGCACCGGCGTGATATATCCCCAAAGTCCCATCAAGCAATGCGATACTTGTAAACAATGCAGTGTGCTGGGAAGAAAATAAATACTTGTTTATTGGATGCACTTTCAGGGTTTTGTGATGATGGGACAATTTATCAGTTTGACTTCATTCTGCACCGGGTCCCCCGGTGGCAGTTTTCTCGAGATTGGCCGGACGTGGAGTTGGGCAGCGCCAGCGGTGTCGTTTTTCCATTTTTATTTTTAACAAATTGCACGGTCGACGTAGAAACGCCGAGCAAATCAGCGATGCGACCGCCCCCCCCAAACCCCCCCCACGACCTCACCACACCCCCACCACGGCCCCCCCCACACCCTCACCACGCCCCCCCCCCCACACCCTCCCCACCCCTACTCCCCAATGAATTATTCCTGTGGATTTCGCACAAGCACGTCTCACCGTGCGCATTCTTAAGAGGCTGGCCGCTTGCTCCTTTTAAATATTTCGCAAAGGTGGCGAACAAGCGAGACGGCGGGATTGCATGGCAATGTATATTGCCTCTTTAAAAATGTAATTTTCCTATTTATGAAAACCCCCAGGCTGAGGCTGGGTTTTTTTTTTCCTCCAACACTTTGTGAGCAAGACATAACGGCGCTTAGGCAATAATGTAATCTAATTTTACTTTATTTAGTTTCGAAAACAAAGATATCCCTGGCAACTACACGTGAAATATATTAATTATGATTAGACAGAAAGCAAATTAAAAAAAAAATACATACGCTGCAGACTAACGGATAAGCATGTGAAACAGAACACGGAATAATCAATGCCTCTCAGCGTCTGTGCCATTAAGTTTGGAATAACGATGCGATGCAGCTTCAAAACTAAGTAACGCATACCACGTGGCTCTGCATGCAACTCGCGAGTGGAAGGTTGCCAGCTGCTCAACTTCAAGTTGGGCAGCTGGCTCGGCCCATCATCCCCGCGTGGTGGATCAAATGTAACACCGCCACTTTTTGAGGAACTCAACATCGGTTGCTCTATACCAGTGGTTCTTAACCCGGGGGTGCACGCACCCCCTGGGGGTGCGGGATACCCTTTCTGGGGGTGCGGGATACCCTTTCTGGGGGTGCGAGACATGCCAAATTTCTTTATAAGGTAAATCATCGAAAACACAAATTAAGCACGGGCACGTAAGTACGAATAATTTGTTTTTTTTTTTAATCAAACCTATGTATTTATTAACATTATACATCGAATAATTATTGAGAACCAAAGGTGTGCAAGGCTGCAGTAAAGGTTAAGAATCACTGCTCTATACTGAGGGACAATTGACCGCCACAGGAATGTGGAATTCCCGGCGGCGCTGGGCTCAGGGCTGTAAAACAGTAAAGAGAGCATCACCTCAATGCCCATTTATGAGCAGGAAATCACTTTGCATTTTTTTTTATTACTGAGTGAACATGACTGTTTTGACCGAAGCAGCTCGCCAAATGAAAAATAGCACGGTCCGTCTTCACTGTAAAAGTGGGGTTTAACCACAACCAAGTGCACGGGAGAAACCCTGCAAAGGAAGGAGCACAACACATCAGTAAGGACATCGATTGATCAGCAGAAAAGCAAGGGCCAAAAAGGTCACGCACAGAGGATGAAGAAGGCCACTTAGAGGTAAAAGTCTCCGTGGTGTTTTCTGACAGCATCTCCATTAAGCTGTTTGGTCAAAGTCTTCACGGAACTGAAACACCAATCCATTGCAGTCTGCGGCCAACTTTGTCATAGTTTAAATAAAAATGCCCCTTTGTTTATCCACAAAAGCCTCACAAGAGTTTGGCTTCTTTGAAGATGTCTTTTTGATTCAAGACTTTTCCGGCACAGAGGCCGAGCAGGCTGTTTGGGTGTCAAAAAATGTCACGAGTCATTATCTGTGACGGCAACGCTTAAAACTCCCTCGGTGTGCTGCCGGTTGAAATGACGGTGCAAAGATTATTATATCCCCCACCAACCGCCTATTGCCACCCCCCAGCACTATAAATCAGGACACCAGTTAGCCTTCGATCGGCAGGTCGCGTGTCTGGAGGGGGCAAAGTGTGAGGACATTCCCACATCTCTTCCAAGACATCCGGGCCAGCAGTGGCAGCCAAAGAGTAGGGATGTCTATAGATCCCTAAAGTGGAGGTCGCTGTGCCAGCATTGGCGTAAGCAGGCAATTGCTGGGCTGCACCTTCCCCTTTTACATTTATGAATAAACGGTACTGTATGTAAAATAAAAATGCCAAGTCGACAGCCCTTTGTCGATCTGCCGCTGGAGGAAGCGCTGCCCACACTGTCAGCCGTAAGGGTTATCTGACCGTACTTAACCAATCTGGTCAGTGCGGGTTAGTAATAGGCGGGGCCCAGGATTTGTGCAGACAACACTCGCCACTGCCGGGAATTAAACTCGGGTCACCGGGTCCACAGCGCAGTGTGTTAACCACTGCGCCACAGCAATCCCCAACGGGATATGCAGTGCTGTGCATATATTGATCTTACATCGAACATATGTTCCTCATTTGAATAGTTTTCTTTCAATTAATCCTATTCTACCGATACAATAATCAACTAATCCTACAGTACCCTAACCCCGTTGTGTTGCTTTTCCTCAATCATTATCACGTAGCGTTCCGCCTAGATTCAATCACTCAAGCCCCAACGTACACGTGTATATTTATTTTCAGTCAAACCCAGCTGGCATCTCTATGAAACACACACACACAACACTAAGTGTCAAAAGCATTTCAACATTTCTTTGGAGGCAGCGGGATGGTAATTGGTGATGGCAATGGACGCCGTTTATGCTGCGTTTGCACGCAGGTGCGCACTGTGATCTCATTACGCTTCCCAAGAAGATCTGCGCTTTGAGACGTCGGAGCCAAACGCAAGCGGCGCTAACGTAGGGCTCCACTGATCAACCGTATTGACCAACAGCCCCAAATTGTACTGCTTTACCTCCTTTTAAAGATTACACACGGAAGCCGATTCGATAGCGGTCATCCTTGACACTTCTTTTCCACTCGACAACCGAGCTGCACCAGGGCCGTGTTGAGGGAGTCCAGCGCGGCTTAGGAGGTGCCAGATTGTGGTGCTGCAGTGGCGGGATGTTAACTCCCTTGCCTGGTATACAGGATGTCGTGGGTTTGATCCCAAACCTGACGCCTGTATATTTGGAGTTTGCATGTTCTTTCCGTGGTCGCTTGGATTTTTCTCCGGGTCCTCCGGGTTTTCCCTCCACATTTGTAAGCATGAATTTAGAGTATTTGGCTGCTATACATTTTCACGTGATAAGCCACTTCGTTGAGCTATCATTTGGGGCCGGGTCGTTTCTGAAAAAGAACTGTATAGCTCAGTGGACCTTACCTGGTAAAATAAAATAAAAATCGTTTCGTTTATCCACTGCAGTACCCGAGCCACGAGAACAGAAGTGCACTGACGTCACGTGTAATAAACCGAGTTCAGTCGTATGCAGATTGTGTGGTAATGCAGCCTGAGCTGGACTTACTGACAATCATGGGCAATGACTGCATCATTAACCAAGCCCATGGCCCTGCTTGCCACCCAAGCCAGATGCAGATGTAGTGTGAAGCTAGTATAGCATGGTGTGGTTACGGCTTGACTTTGAATATATCCAGTGGAAAACCACCCGCACGAGGGCCCCGTGCTGGCTTGGTTTCGATGTGCCAGTGGGAAAGCGGTAATTGAGAGATGCTGGCTCCTACTCGGGGATAATGGAATTTCAATGACTGCCTTATGGCCAGCTATAGAGATAAGTGCCACCCATTGCTTGTTTTTGCAAGGGGCACCCGGTTGACTGCGTATGGTGCGAAATAAATTATATATACAAAACTCATATTGTCTTGTAAATGCCAGGTTAATGAAGGTGACGATGATGCAACACAGCGGATGCACTTAACTAAGGCAGCACTGTACTGACAACAGCTGTATGTGTCCCGCATTCACCCTTGCATAAAAATCACCGGTTCGCAATGCCGTCTCACCTTGGCATAAATGTCACAAAGATCAGTGACGTAACCCGAGTCCGTGCACAGTAGCAATGCTCCCAGTCTCCACGGTCCTCTACCGACTAGCCCCTGCCAAACTCTCCCCTCTCATCGCACTCCCGTCCACGCACTCTCCGCTCTCATCTCACTCGACTCCCCTCCATGCCCTTTCCACTTCAGCAACCAAAGGTTCTTGTCGACGTCCACCGTGTCAACCTTGGCTCAGTGGGAGGTCACGCATCCTCCCCTGCTACCCCCATTGCCTGTAAATACCTTCCCACAAACATATGTGCTGATGACTCAAGTCCAGGCACCCTTTTTTCCCCTATATAAAAGCATATATATCCCTTGTTTTTGTACAGTGCCTTGGGATGCAGTCACATTTCCATTCCAATTTGGAGTAGGAGAAAAAAGCACTCCACTTTAATGAATAATGAAATATATTCTTGTTCTTAATCACTGCATACTAAATGTATTAAATGCATTAATTCAAATATGTAAGTACATGTAAATGCGCTAGTCATGAGTGTGATACATTTATTGATGTACAAGTTCCCCAATGATCCATCCCCCATGACGGTGCATAATGAGTTTTTGTGCAACACTGCTGTTTGGCGCAGACGGGCGACACGGCTCTCTGGCTGTTGGGTCTTGACAGTCAATGTCTGGCAACACTGCAGGATTTGTTTAAGAGGTGCGTAGATCTCCTGATGAGACTCAGACAATCGAAACCAGACAGTCCAAAGGTTTGGCCGCTGAAAGGCCAAAGTGCAGACGGGTGATTTAAACATTAAAAAATACAAAGAGTGTAGACACTGACTTGTCAGTTTATTTTATGCAATATAAACAACAGGCCTCGTCCAATGCTGGATTAGAGGCCTAACCCACCCACCCCCCCCCACTATGCCGTGTTGGTCATGCCGTTTGACCATACTTCACTACGCTGGTCAGTGCGGGTGGGTGATAGGGGTGCACACAGACAGTTCAGGATACAATTCGCCACTGATGATTGCCGTCACCCAAAAAGCGAACGAACCACTGCGCCACCACTCAAATTCCTTATCTATCTAGAACGAAATATGTTAACATCCATGTGATAAATTATTCAACTTTAATATCATGAGCACTTATAACAGCAAAAAAAAGCTACTTGGAACCATACCAAAATGACAGTTGTAATACTATGAGAATAGAATGAGAACAGGTTTTCAGTTTTTTTATGGCAACAACAAAAACAAAACAGAAGTTAAGATTTTGATTTAAAGCTTTCGTGACCGCAGGGATTCATATTCTTGGTTCTTTCGGTAAAATCACGTAGAAGGGAAACAATAAAATTATAAGATAAAATTCTCACTACGTTTCGACTGCAACACAATCATCATCAGGTGTGAAAACCAAGGCAAGCAAATTTTAAAAAAGTGGCCAGTACCAAAATATGAGAACAGGTTTTCCCCTTTTATCTGGCAACAAAACAGGTGTTAAGTTGTAAAAACACCCAACTGAAAGCTTTTACAAGGAATCATGTCTGCATTAACCACAATATTTGTGGTCTCATTCCTCTGATAGTGCATTGTCTTTGGGCTGTACGCCTTTTGGCGTCCTCTGGTCGAACACCGTTTGAGATGAGACTCAAAAGAAAGCTGTCTCAGGTGTGGACCAATCAGTTTCAGAGACAATGCATATATTATCGGAGTATGTTTTTAGTTTGCATTTTGACCACAAGTATTGTGCTTAATGCAGACATGATTCCTTGTAAAAGGATTTAGTTTGGTATTGTTTGGGACTTTCGGTAAAGTCACGTAAGATAGGTTTGTGCATTTAACAGGCATATGGTCTCAAAAACAAACAGCCAAAGGCAAACTTAGACTCTTTAATTCAGCCGGTAAGGCCATTAGGCTACGCAGCTCTTTAATAGCTGTTTAAATGCCAAGCTTTTGGTCAAGCGATCCCCTATCGGACAGATTTAAATAATTAATCGTGTGACTTTAGCGGCTTTTTTTTACGAAGTTTATTATAAATTCGTGTCAAACAGGCATGGCCACACAGCTGAGGCGCATATCTACAAGATACATTACAGAGAGCAGCGTTCGTGTTTCGGGGTTAAATCCCATCTCTCCCTCTCTGAACCAATAATTTGGTAATGCTGTATGCGTTGGCACACGCAGTGCGAATAAATAACTCCACACATTCTTCAATAACACCGTGGCCTTGAAAGGAAGACGACGTTTCGGGCAATGGCGCTTCTTCTTAATAGCACATACACAGAGACGCCAAGAGGGATACAGTGGACAATAATAGTTGGAGAGCCTGCATGTTACAACCACGGGGCCTGACGCGACACTTAAACCCCCCCCCCAAAAAAAAATTCGGACCGGTTTTAAATTGCCATCTATTTGTATAATATCGATTGAACCGGCCACTGGTTTGTACAGTTGTACATTACACGTCTTGCAGCGTGCACGTGCTCGCCGTTGCCGGATTTGTGTTCATGGTTGCATAAAAAAATGCGTTCTTCACACACACAACACACGTGCGTTGTGTGTATGTTGTATGCGGGCGGTATGTAAGGTTGCGTACCGGCGCCATGCAGCACACGGGAATATTTCTTACAACCTCGAAACGCCAACTACATCTTGAACAACAACAACAGTAAATTAGCGAAGGCAACAAAACTCCCCCCCCCCCGCCCCAGGGTCCGCGTGCGGCTCCGTCCGCCCACTACAGGCCGACGCTGCCACCACCAAACCCCGGAGCGGGTTCCAAGCAAGCCCGTAGGCTCCATCGAGGCCTGCAACTTTCTAACGCCGCTCGTGGAACCGCGCAAAGGCCGCGTCGACGAGCAGCGCCTTTGGGCCCGTTCGGTCGTCCGTGGTTGCCCTTCGCCGTGGTGGCCCACCGAGGTTTTGTTACCTTTGGCGGCGGCGGCGGCGGTGGCCGACGCCGGCGAAGTTTTAGCCGCAACGACTGAGAGCGACATGGCACCGCGGGGATGGGTGGGTGGGTGTTGTTGTTGCGCGGGATGGAGACGGAGGCCAGAGCAATCGATCGACGGAGCGCGATTGCTTTTGCCTCGTTTAGTCGATCGACGATGAGTCGGTTATCGGCAATCTATTGAACCAGCCTGCCTGAACTCAGCGGTTCGGTTAAGTTTACGATCGAATTGGAACTCCAGGTTAAGTGATTTGCATCGCAAATGGATTATATAAAACACTTAGTGATTCCACGAAGTTTTATAATGAGTGAGGATTTTTTTTTAAGATTGGACGCTTTGAGAGGGTGATTTTTTTTGTCTTAAATTATTTGTCTTGATCTTCTTTGGTTCTTTCGGTAAAGTCACGTAGAATGAGAATAAAATAATAAATTAATAAAATTAAATAACAATAAAATTCTCACGACGTTTCGGCCACAACACAAGTGACCTTCAGGTGAAGAAGGCTCTGTTGTCCCGACAGGTTTGTTCCTGTCACCTGAAGAAGGCCACTCGTGTTGTGGCCGAAACGTCGTGAGAATTTTATTGTGTTATTTTATTAATTTATTCTCATTCTACGTGACTTTACCGAAAGAAACAAAGAAGATTAATCCTTGCAATCATAAAAGCTTTAAATCGAAATTTATTTGTCTTGAATTGCGTTGAAAGTTACAAGCAATTTACGTGAAAGGGACATTTTTACCTCAGTTGATTGTCCTTGGTTAAAATTTATTTCGCTGATAAACTTGAAGATTATTTTTTTACTTGAGTGATTTCCTATGTTTTTAATGTACAGTATAAAGATGGAAAAACAATAAATGTGTATTTACTTATTTTACTTCCCTAAGGTGTCATTGAAGCATTGTATAGGTTACTTGAGGTGATAATTTTTAACGATTTGGAGTTTAGTAGAATTTTTTTTTAAAAATGGAATTAAGACGTTGGCTTAAGTGGTTTACAATGATTAAGAGCTCTGGTTAGCAAGGCCGTAATTATAATATATATTGGGGGGGGTGTCAAAATGTCCCCCCCAATATATTGCTATAAAATAGATTCCTGTTTATATAATTGTGGTTATGGTTGTACTTTATTAATCCCTAATCTCTGCCATTACATACAATGAAACAAGAAAAGGTAAAAAAAAGAAAAACAGCAATGTAATACAATACACTATTAGACATTATTGTAAAAAATAAAATAAAAAGTTCATCCCATGTATTAGTGAATTTTTTATATTTTAGGCAGGAAATGGCAGGAAATTCGTTTTCAAATTTTGATTTTTTTCTGGGGGGGACCCCCAGACCGCCTGGAAGATTTGATCCCCCCCAGGGGCGGAGCCACGGGGAGGGGGGCTCAGCCCCCCCTGAAATTTTAGAAAAGTCGGTAATCGGCTGCTGCAAAATGCAATGAGAATGAAAAACATAAGTGAAGTTGTTTGTATATTAGTCCTTCAAGGCATACAGACAGTGAGGCAAGAGAGACGTGGAGTGGATAACTAAGAAAAATGACAAAGATCCCCCGTATAGCCTTAACAGACTGTTGGGGTAAGTGCTGTTAGCGAGCACCTATTAAGGCCGGCACGGCACACGACCGGCCGCCTTTGTCTCCCCAGTGCCGCTGTTTACACACCGCATCAGGTACTCATTTGTGGCTGGGTCGACCTAGGGGAGGCCCAGGACCGGTTCAGATAACCGTCACTGGGTGTTGGTGAGCGGGAATCGAACTCGGGTGGCCAGGGTTCGTAGCGCAGCGCGTTAACCGATGCGATACTGCTCCCACGCTAGCACACACGTACGCACGCACACACACAGCTACACCCTCTTAAACGAAATCACATCACCTCGCTTCGCACATTAAAATTTAAACTGTGTATAGCAGGCACCGGAGTGAGCACTCAGAGGTCAGCAGCCAAGGAGAAGACCGCAAGCCAGATGGTGGGATACTGCAAGAGCAGACCTTCAAGGTTGCGTGTTGACTTTGCAGCAGCGGCAGCAGCAACAACAACAAAACTATGCAATTTGAGCAGAGGTTTCAAGTTTGTTTCGTTTAACCAGTTGAGAACTCAGGAGACCAGGGAAAAGTCTCATTTGCAAGATTGACCTGGGGCATTAGGCTGACCAGTAGGGGGCAATGATGATTGCTGCTATGTGTGTGTGCAAACCCAACCGGGTAACCTGCAGGTAATTTCATAATTTGGCAAAGGTTGACCCTGACGCTGGCACATGATGCTGGCAAATTAACCAGTTTTATTCCAGGTCACAGCTAACATGAATGGCGAGCGATATCTGAATCGGTCCATTGGCTCCCTCTTTGTGCCAACCTGCACTGACCATCGTGGTGAAGTATAGTCAAACAACCCCCATGACCGACACGGTGTGAGGAGACCTTCATCCAGGGCAACATCGTTCCATCTATATGAAGTTAAAATAAAGTTTAAAAAAGACCGTCTGGTTCTTGTTTTAACCGTGTGAGTCTCATCAGCAGACTGAGGCCTCTTAAACAATGCTGTGTTGCCAGATTGTATTGCCAAGAGCCATCCATCAAGGCTGTGGCACGCAGCTGTTATTATTAAATGTTCCCTGTCAATGTCAATGTTTAGGCTCCATCAGAACAGGTAACGTACACGATTTTATTAATCCTCCAACGCAGTGATGTTTCGTTTCGATTTCACATTTTTTTTGCTCTGATTTCTAATTTGCTTCTATGCATTTCTACTTTATTTTCGTGCCGGTGTCATTTTTGGTGACTCGGGTCACTCTGGCAGTTTGAGAATTGACTCCTGGTCGAAATTGAAACTTGAACTTGACGTCTGAGCGCTTATTTGTTTCCATAGTTATTCTTAATCGGTATGCAAATAGCCTCAATATCAGCAGGCCACAAAAGAGGCGTGCATTAATCATAGTGGGCACCAGGCTTCTTGCAGACCACTCAGCTGTTTCTGTTCGACCATTAACCGGTTACCGTTTACTGTCTTCTTCCACCAGCCACACGCACTTACCCTGGCACAAGCGATCACTCATATTTGTTGCTTCAATGCATCTCCGTCCTGTGCCACGTCGGTGATATCACCAGCAATCACTCAAATCACTGCACGGATGCATATGGTGCCCCCTGCCCCCCCGCTGCATATATATGTATATACGCGTGACGTGCATGGCAAATCGACCCGGGTTACAAGGGTGCATTTGCACAACCTCGTTCCCCTCTGTGCTTGAGACGTGAACCTGCCTCAGAGCCAAGGCGGTTGGGTGGTCCCACCTGAGGTGGCAAATGCTGACTCAGGTGTCAACCATGTGCAGTGTCCACCATGGGAATTGTCCACCCATCAGCAGAAAGATTATCGCATATAGGGCATTTAAAAAAATATGTTCTGCTTATGTATTTTTATATTCCGTCGATGTTTCATGTCACGTTTTTTTCCCAAAACGATTTCCTCTATCAAACATACTACCCCCAGCAAACATGGAACGTTGGGTCCAACATTGGGCGAACGTTGGGCCAAAGGTTCCAAAAATACGCCAACGTTGTCGCAACGTTTCCATGCTTACTGTGACAATACCATTAATTGACAAAACTTTCTTCATTAAAAGCTACCGCAGTCACCTTGCTATCAAACATAGCCGTGACCGAGAGATATACAATATTTCAAGGAAATGTTTGTAAGCATGTGCCATCCTTGGCTTGGTGGTACCGATAATTTTGGCCCAATGGCTGAAGCGATCAAACAGCATAAGTAATACTAATAATTTTCACTCATTAGGCGCCTTTCAAATAACGTCTCAAGGCGTCATGGATGAAATGGGAATAGGAATATCCACGCGGAAGAAGAAGAGCCAAGGAGGGCTTACAACTAATGAGGATGAACTTTAGTTCAACGGAGCTTTTTAGTCGGGAGTTAAAGACATCAACACTGTCCGAGAGCCTGATCTCCTGCAGTGGGGAGTTCCACAAGCGTGGGGGGCGGTTGGCGTGAGGGGGCACGAGTGGAAAGTTCCACAAGCGTGGGGGGGCGGTTGGCGTTGGGGGCACGAGTGGAAAGTTCCACAAGCGTGGGGGGGCGGTTGGCGTGGGGGGCACGAGTGGAAAGTTCCACAAGCGTGGGGGGGCGGTTGGCGTGGGGGGCACGAGTGGAAAGTTCCACAAGCATGGGGGGGCGGTTGACGTGGGGGGCACGAGTAGAAAGTTCCACAACCGTGGGGGGGGGCGGTTGATGTGGGGGGCACGAGTAGAAAGTTCCACAACCGTGGTGGGGGGGGGCGGTTGGCGTTGGGGGCACGAGTGTAAAGTTCCACAACTGGGGGGGGGGGTACCGCAGCGAACGGTCGATCACCCCAATAACGTAAACCAGAGGGAGAGAGCGAGACAGATGTGCAACTTTCACGAGTTGTATGCCGGACCACAACGCAATTCGTTGAATTCCGTTTAGTTTGTAGCCCTTCCCACGCACCTCCGATTGGCACGGTTGGCTACGCGCGGTGCGAAAGAAGTTCAGCGTACTGCAACATACGACTACAGCGGCTATTTCTCACACACTGTGCGCGCGTATTTTTGCATGCCAGAAACAAGTTACAATCAGGGATAAAGCTCGCTTCAGTTCGTGCAAGACCTGACGGTTGTAATGATTACAAAACACCACTCTTAACTCAAGGTTTGATGCCCTCCACAGTGTTCCTCTGTAACCAGTAAATTAGTCAACAAAACATACGCACGTGTTTTACCTTTGTTGCTTTATTTTTTTTACATTCAACAACGGTGCGTGCCATCTGCGGTATTGTACACTGCCCCTGCCCCTCCCCCCCGTATGCTTTTCTCTCGCGTCTCACCACATACATCATTTTTATTCATTCGCCGCCCTTTGGAGGGCTTAAGCACGCGGCGGTGAGCCCAGCGGCAGTGCGCGCCACGACTCGCCTGATCCACGCGCGCACTTTTATTTTTTATTATCCAAAGGTTCGTAGAGGTCCTGCGCGGTGTAGAAGATCCGCGGTGCTGGGGTGGGGTGGGGGAAGTTAAAGCCGACGCGGTGATCGAAGGTCCCCGGCGCGTTGCCTGTCCCCTGCGGAGCGGTGGCGCGGCGGTTAGCG